CCCACCTAAAGAACGAGAGGTGCAGTTTGTATTGCACTATATGACAAACAGTAACTTACTGAGACACAGATTAACTGAAATCAAGAAATTAGGGAATCCAAAAGAAATTCCCAGGCTCTATGGAGCTTGATGGGATGTGAGAAATTAGGGGAATACAGCCGGTACAAGTGTGCTAATGCACTGAGGGATTGCTCACATTAATTACACATTTTGCTACTGCTTGTGGAATGAATAATTATGCACAAATGACAGACCAAAAAGTTGGCTCATGCGAGGGCTTCTATGTCAGCAGCTTTCTGTTTACCTTTTCCACAGCCTCATTCTTCTCCAGTGGTCTGGGAGTGTCAGATGAAGAGGAAAGGGCCTTTGAGGAACTGGAACAGGCATATGTCATGACAGACAGCCGGCTTGCAGTGAGAAAGATGTCAAAGGGGATGAAGTTGAGGTTCTTGGTGATGGTGGATTTCTGGGAGGGCCTAGCAATGCAGTGATGGCTGGCTCCACTCTGTTGCTCTATTTGGACGATGCGTATGCGTGCACTGTCGCTGCCAAAGCCACTGTCCTGACCTGTTCCACTGTGACGTGACTGTGACTGGGAGTCAACACCAGCCCCTCGGTCTTGAGGCCCATGTTTTTGCTCATGCTTGCAAACCTAAAACACAGGAACAAACTGTGAGGTGTTGTTTACAATTGTGTGTTTTTGTAAAGACACAGCAACGTGTATTTTTCAAAACTGTGCAAGGTCACATCATCATTGTATGCGTTGTTGTTCTTACACAAGGAGAATTGGCATCCTACAAGCTTCATGAACTCTAGAACATTGAAAGATCGACCTTGGAGTGGACATCTGGGGCTCATTAAGTCCTGACATGCATGAGAAGATGGTCAGGTCTTCTGTGCTGCCTGCAGCAGCAGGTTTGTCATAGAAGTCGCCAGTGATTTGTTTGCTGACCCAAATGTGTTTTCAATAACAAGCAAAAGGAAAAAAAGACGGAATGACTTGGAGTCTTTACATAATTACTGTGTCTCTCCTAAAATATGAGCCTATTGTGACTATTATTTGTACTGATCAGTAGCTCAAATTGTGTGCAAATCCATCACACATGCACATGTGCATGGAGAACTGCTACCTGTGTAACTAAACAAAACTGCACAAAACTTTATAAATATGACACACATAAGACTTCCATTTTCACTAAAACAAACTGCCCTATTTCAAACCAAACCAATATGTGTTCTTCACATTACAGAAGGGGGTTTGGAGCATCAAATAGAAAAGGATAAAAGCCTTTGTCCTCTTTTTTTTGGAGGAAAATTTGTTTTCATGTTTGGGTCCAGGCATTACAAAAGACCCAAACCAAATAACTTGCGAAATTGAGACCATGGACAAATTGGCCAAAGAAGGAGAGCATCACATAACCACAGAGACACTAAAGGCGTGCTTTGGGCTTTTTCTGTGGTCTAAATATCATTTCTCACTTCTTGTAAAATAGGAAAAGTCTTCAGAGAAGAACCTCACCCCTGCAAATAGAATTGTTTTATCCATTGACTGTGGTATTGTGTATGAAACTGATGAAATTTTACGCTTGGCATTAAGTAACCAATATCAGGAGTCTTCCAAACATTGTGGCAATAAAAGGCTTTCAGTGACAGATGTTATAAATGAATATGAGGTGGTTGCTTGGTTTCAAAAAACAATAAAACAGAGGTTTTTGATCTGCTACTAAGGCATGCAAATCTCTGAGACAATAAGGAAGCTGCCACTGATTCCCACTGGACAGGAGAGATACAAACATGTGAAACCAGGGGCCAAAAACGCTGACGTAGTTTCAATACTTTGGGGTAAAATAAAAAGGAGAAACTTTACTCACATTGACATTAATGTGAAGAAAAGACAAGATGTGTAGAGAAAGAAGCAGAAAAGATGAGGATAAAAAGGAGAGAAGAGAATGCATAATAACACACAGTCTTGTGTGTACACTTTGAATTAATTAGTAACAATACGGTAGATTTCTGCCAGAAGAACGGAATTATAAAATGAGGAAAATAATCAGTCCTGGCAACCTTTCTGAGGGCCTTACAACAAATAATTTTACAGTAATATTGACACAGCTTTTTGGAAATGTTCTGTTCTTGATGCAGGCTTTCTAAATAATCATTCAGCTGGATTCAAACTTAGACTTTCAGGGTAAACAATAGTTTTGTGTACACTTAGCTACAGCCACTTCTTTTTATAAATAAAGTACTTACATAAAACCACATAAACCTTAAACATTACACATTTAATGGCTACGTCCTACGTCATACTTTTACACACACACACACACACACACACACACACACACACACACACACACACAACATATATGTTATAAGTTCCCTTCCTCTGTCCTTTGACCCTATGTTTCTCCTATATCCTACAGGACACAGGGTCCATTTGGCTACTGAAGCCCCGTGAAACCATTTATAATAAACTGAAAAATGTAGAAAACGTGCAGTGAGATCTCATAAGAACTAAGGTGTGTCTGGCTGTATCCCACCCTCTTCTGCCCCAACCTGCACATGGTAGCCATTATAACATGTTCTCTGACATAGCCCACTCCTTCTCTACATCACCCCCAACCCTCTCCATGAGAATTTTAAATGTATATTATTGCAGCGGTGAAGATAGTGTTTCAAGACCTCCGGGCAAATACTAAACCCACTGGCAGCACATTAGACAGAATACTTGACTTATTAGATATTTCCTATTCTAAACAGTGTCATCAAAGGCTGAGAACAAGAGCCATATAAAACACTGCAGCATGCCTGCCTGTTCTGTTCGACCGTACTCATGTGTAGGGGTTCTATAGAACTGGCTCTGCCAAACTCCTCTCCCTTCACTGCCCTAATGAGGACAGGATGTGTGTACTCCTTCTTTGTAGAAATGTAAGATTTTCCAAGCAATGGGGAGGGAAGAGAAGGCAAAAAGGGCATGGACCTGTCTCCATGTGTGTTGTGTTAAGTTGGTGAAACTTGTGTTGAGGTAAGGAGGTATTTGAAAAAGGTACTTGGCAAAGGGAAAATGTCCACTCCGAGGAGCGCCCCGCGTTGAAAGGGACAAATAAGCTGCACAGCAGCTGGGAAAGAGACTGAGCCAGGAGAAACTGCCAGAAACTCTTTATGCTTCTCTTGTCTCTCTTCCCAGGCCCAGGCTTTACACATGCATTTACAATTACAGCAAATACCCCGTCTTCTTTTTAACCACCACTACTAAGAGAGTGCCCCCTAAGCAAATTCTTGGGCTATATTTAGATGTGCTTACAAGTGGAATAATGGGTAATGGGGAGCAGTATTGGGGGGTGTAGATGAAAGAAATAATGAAAGAAAAAAAAAACACTGCACGGTTCTCATAGTTTGAATTAAAACATGCAAACAACACATAGAGGGAAGCTTAACACACGTGACGTACGTCACTACCTCAGGGTTTGATCTCAGCTTGAGTTTTAAAACCCACAAGTGGATCTTCCTCATTGGACCTGGGCTTAGTTACAGGCTAACGGTGCTCACACATAAAAAAAAATACTTACAGAAAAACATAAACCTGTGGCTCCACAGTGTAAAGACATTTAACGTTCCGCCAATTTATCCACTGACAGGGGGAAATAAATTCACAAAATAAACATGTACTATAACTACTGCCTTGCTTCCTGCAAAAATCCCCCTTTCCAATGATTACTTTGTGTTATACTATATAATGGCTGCACTAAAGCAGTATTTCCAGATCCCAATGCAATCCTTCTCCGGACTAGGTTGATCATGATCTTGAAAGCGCAAATGCACACGCACACATACCACCCCCACCTCTCATACCCCATCCAACTCCCATCCACCCCTTCCCACAGCCCCCACCCTAGTGGACAAGTCATGAAGTCATCCCCTCGGAGTCTCTAGGAAGAAAATTCTGGAAAATGGAGGATAATCCCCAAAGTGTGAAACCGTGGGTCTTCCAAGTGCCAATCATATCACAGCGCATCTGTGCAACTTCTGACCCCAATTTCTGTCAGTGTAACTCGGAACAGCTTTGCTAAAGTAAGGCTAATATGTGGAAGCAAATGTCACATCATCCAAATGCCACCCGTTTACGGTGTTGGCCTGCTTGTTAAATATGACAACATAGCTTTTAAATCTGAACACCACATATGCAGCTGATTGCTTCCAGATGATTGAAAACAAGGTTGAAATCCAGGTTCAGAGATCAGGGGAAACTGGATTCTATTTTATAAATGTATGGGAATCCATAGTAGTTGGTAGGAAAAATTATAATGAATACAGTCAAAGTAGCATAGGTGACTATAATTTATTGTATTAAAGTCCAAGTGAAAACCACATATCCCCAATGAAGACTTAATCCATACAAATTGTAGAACCACAGCTTCCTGTATGTCAGTTTTTGTTGAAGTGCAGAATCTACTGAGCAGAAAAAAGTGTACTTAAGGTTTCAGAGGTTCTTTATATGCACCAATCACATTTGGACATCACTGTACGCCTGCAGATCATTTTTGTCTTGGAAAAACCTGTGTATTGAGCAAAACAGGGGTGTGGACCCCTGCAATAGATGAGAAAAATCTGATCACTGGATGATAGAATCATCTAATAAAAAAGAAAAACAATTACAGATGAAGAATTTATCATTTAAGTTGCCTTCCTTCTAATTTGATGTTGTTCTTACAGTCCTCCTTAAAACAATGCAGTTGTGCATTTCAAATATTATTAGGTCAACACACTTTACATTTCTGATGCCAAATTCTGGCCCAGAGTCACGGCTCTATGGTTCATCGTTCTGCAACATAACTATTTACACTAAATATAGAGGTCTAAAATTCTCACAAGTGTGGTGTGTAAAAAGGGCAAATAAACAGCAAGAATAAGAGAAAAAATCAGCCATGATCTTTAAATGTCACAACTTGAGCCAAGAATGACCTTCATTAGAAATACTGAATTTCTTGACAACGGTTTGTAGAAATACAAGTGCAGACATGCACAATAAATACAACTGCATAGCATCATCGCTAATCTGTGTCCATGACATAATCAGCAGTACAGCAGAAAGGGAAGCTTGGCTGTGTGACATTAGATATTTCACTTACTGTTGGAGACACATTATGACTGAAATAAGGAAAACTATTCCTTAAGTGTTGAGTGAGAGAGGTCACAAACTTGACAGGATTAGAGAATTATGAAGAAAAAAAAAAGAGTTGTCACTGAGAGCCAGAAATAAATTACAGGCAGAAACCTAACTATGTCATGTCGTATTCCAAATAAAACAAGTTTCAGCACATGTGTTACATTTTCGTTTCTGGGTGTCAACTTAAAATGTTCCTTACATAGTGGAATATATGCCTGTTTTTTTACTTGAAGAGATATGGCAGTATCAATAAAATGAAAACAAGCTGCAATCAATAGCAGCACATGAAAGAAATGGCGCTAAAGGAAGCTGTGCATGTTGAAGCATTGTTTACACTTTTTCAGAACCTTTTTTCCCATGTTCTTTTGCAGCTCCTGTTGAATTTCCTTTTAACCACAGGGTAGGTCAGTTTACTTAATCTTTCTGACAGAACTATGGAGTTGAGCCTTTTGCCCACAGGATGCATGAATGGAAATTGACTTCTG